ACTCTTTCCTGCGTATGCAGGGAGTCGGACTCGATGATCTATTGAGGTCCCTTCTGACCCTAACATCTATGAATCTATGAATCTATGAATAAGCTGAATATATGCCAGCAGCGTGCCCTTTTTGCCAAGAAGGCTAACGGTATACTAGGCTGTATTGGTAGGTGTGTTGCCAATAAGTCAAGGGAAGTGATTATTCCCCTCTATTCAGCACTGGTGAGGCCACATCTGGAGTACTGTGTTCAGTTCTGGGCACACCACATCCACAGAGCCAGTCATCTCATCATAGAAGGTAATCAGGATGGTCAGGCATGACTTGCCCTTGGTGAACTCATGCTGACTGTTCCTAATCACCTTTTTCTCCTCCAAGGGCTTAGTAATGGATTCCTTGAGGACCTGCTCCATGATTTTTCCAGGAACTGAGGTGCAGCTGACTGGTCTGTAGTTCCCTGGATCCTCCTTTTTCCCTTTCTTAAATATGGGCACTATGTTTGCCCTTTTCTGATCATCCAGGACCTCTCCTGATCACCATGAGTTCTCAGAGATGATGGCTTTGCAATCACATCAGCCAACTCCCTCAGCACCCTCAGGTGCATCCCATCCAGCCCCATGGACTTGTACATGTCCAGCTTTTCTAAGTAGTCCCTAATCTGTTTGTTCATTTTTAAACCTTTTATTCTTTCATCTGAGAGATTTGTCCATGTGCCTACAGGCGTGGAGCATAAAAATGCCAGCTGTTCTGCAGCGGCACTTTTACTGCACTGAGCTTATTCTTATTAAAATGTCCCATGTGCAGTGCTAAGAGCCTCAGATATTCCAAAGGTGAAGGTCTATCAATGAGGGTCCACGGTGATGGGATATATGCAGTCAGCAGGAAGAGAAGTTCTGTAGAGTCCACAGGGATTCACCTGGATTCACATCCAAAGTTGCCTTGGGTTTCCATGTAGGTCTTAGACTCTTACTCCTCCTATCAGGGTCCCTAGGCACATGCCATGGTGGGTAGGCCAGCCAGCTCCTAACCTCTCCCTGTTCTCTTCCAGAGTGACCTTAGAAGATGTCGAACCAGAGTAACGGTGACACTAAGCCCCCATGCCTACCCCGGAATGGATTGGTGAAGATTCCCGCCCAGCCCAATGGACTTGGCTCAGCCAGCATCACCAAAGGGACCCCAGCAGTGAAAAACCGCCTATGCCAGCCTTCTTCCATGCCTGCTATCATCAGCCCAGCCTTATCAAATCACAGTGACCTGCCCATATCCAGCCTGGCATCACCGCTGTCCTTGGCAACTCTGGCAGGGGTGTCCTCCCCTTCTGGCACCTCTGTGGTGGGACTGAACTCAAGTGAGGCCTCCTCTACAAATGAGCACTCCTCCCCAGAGAGGGCTCCTGGCTCCCCCACAGAAAGGCAGCTGGCTGTGGATGAGAAGATCCTTAACCGCTTGTTCTGGTACTTTTCAGCCTGCGAGAAATGCATCCTGGCCCAAGTGTGTAAAGCATGGCGGCGGGTCCTCTACCAGTCCAAGTTCTGGGTAGGCCTCACACCTGTCCTGCACACCAAAGAGCTCTACAACATCCTGCCCAGTGGTGAGAAGGAGTTTGTCAACCTACAGGGCTTTGCCATCAGGGGCTTCGATGGCTTCTGTCTGGTGGGAGTCTCAGACCTGGACATTTGTGAGTTCATTGACAACTACCCCTTGTCCAAGAAAGGGGTGAAGTCCATGAGCCTTAAGAGATCGACTATCACAGATGCAGGACTTGAGGTAGGTCTCTGGGGATGATGAGTGCCTGCTGGGTTGTCCTGCCTGATCCATCTCCCAGGGTGTGACCCAGTTGTGTCTTTCGTGATTCTTTGTCCAGGTGGGTTACAAATGTCCCAAACAGTAGAGCTACTAGCACATCCCCAGCCTCACCTAGAGCCCCCCAGATCTCCATCTGCAGACATTTCTCCCAATGCTACACCTTTCTCCTTCCTTCTGAATCACTTTCCCATCACTCCCATTTCCTTTCTGGTGTTTACAGCTTCCAGCACTCATTGTCATGATTCACTTACCCAAGCTATATATATTTCTCATATATCAATCTCTCCTTGTGAGTCAGTTCCCTCCAGACCCAGATGGAGGGTATTTTTCCCCTTTGCTCTTCTGTGAACTCCATCCAATATGTCAATATCTCCCTGGTAATGCTGTGCCTGGAAATGAGCAGGATATTTCTGGTGTTCTCGCACCACAGCTCAACTCTTAGGAGGATTCTTGAATGAGCTTCTAAAGGCCCTGATCAAGATTTGAGCTGTATGTACACAAGGTGAGCCTGCCCCAAAGAGCTCACCATCTAGAGAAGGCAAGCAGGGAAGGGGAGGATGAGTAGCTCCAGTTCCTTGTGGGGGAACTGAAGCATAGGGAAATTGAATGAATTGTCCCAGATTGCCCAGGAAGGCTGTGGCAGATGTGGGAACTGAAACCATGAAGGGCAGTCCTGAACCTAACCTACAAGCTTATCCCAGACTCTCTGCTTGCTGAAGTGATGGCTCTGTAGCTGCTGTCTTTGTCACCCTTTTGCATTGCAAGTGCAAGAGAAAACCCAGTTCATTTCATTCTGGAGTCACAATGCAGAGAAAATTTACAGGCATTGTCTCCTGGGAGCTCCCTATTCCAGTGTGCTACAGTGTTATACCCAAAAGATTCTAAGGCCAACCATAACTCATCCCCATGTTCACCCCATCCCAGCCTGCCTCTACAACCAGGAGACCCCTCATCAATGCCACCTGTCTGTCCTGCTTGTGACATGGATCTCTTTAGCTATGAGATGGGAAAGCCCAATCCACCCTTTCCACGGGCTAGGTGCAAGGCTAGGTGTTGAAACAGATGCTGCGAGGTGAATGCCATGCTGGAAAGCCTCTCTAGGTTTTGTAAGCAAAGGGGGAGCTGGTGGCTATTATAAAACAGCAGCCAAAGGAAGAGGATATGCATTGGTTGCATCCTTACTTCTTGATGCTCCATTGTGGGACTAACCCAAAGGAGGGGATATTGGTGGAAGGTGGAAATTGCATCTTGCCAAGAAGGGCTCCCATTCCCTCCTCCCTGGGGAGTGAGTCTCCTTGCAGAGGTGTGTGGGACAGAATGGAAACCAGAGGTGAATCTCTAGACAGCATTCAGATGTATGCTGGGCTGGCAGATGAGCCAGGGTGTTGACACTTGGTCACCAGGGGTGGTTAAAGTGTGAGAAGCTGTTGTGCCTGACTTGTAGTATGGACATCTGGAGAATGGGTGACTAGCCCTCATTGTGGATGGAGTATCAGATAGGGCTGGTGGCTATCTGAAGATGCAGCTATCTGGTGAAAGTTTGAGAAGCAGTGGGGATCTCTGACCGCTGACTGGGTGAAGACATATGGGCAGAGTTAAGGTTTATGCTAGAAGCTCGGCTATGGGGCATTGATGTTTCTGATGAAGGCTGACCAGGCTGAAACATTGCTTTCAAGACCAGCATCTCTACAGAGGCCTTGGTCCTTGGGATTTCCATAGCTGGGGCTGAAAGGAGGGGTGATGTTCTTCTAGAGCTTGCATGTCTTGAAGCTGTTGCACAGACTTGGCTTGCATTGTTGGCAGAGCCATCTGGTTTGCCAGTGGTGCCTATGGGAATATCAAGTTCTTCATGCCAGACTGGATACTTCTAGCTCCCACCAAACCTCACACAGGGTTTTTCCTGAGACACAGGCTTGGAGCTGGAGTGAGCTAGGCCATGCTGGAGCACTCAGAAGGCCCTCAAATTGGTCTGAATTCAGAAGGGAATGCAGGTCTCTACACCCCACATTAGTGAACTTGGTCTGCATCACTGGTGTTGGCCTAACCTGCTAGCGAGTATGCTCCAGATCCCTATCTGTGCCCACTCCACAGAGGAGGGTCTGTTGCAGCTCAGGAGTGTTGGTTCTTCAATCCAAATCATAGTAGCTTGTGCCTTTAGCTCTGGAGGGCTCTGGGTCAGTCAGCCAAAATGGCAGCTATCATGTGGCTGTTGAGGGATAATCTGTCCTCACCAGCATGCCTCGCAGTGTAGACTAAA